AATGAAGAGGAACTAATCATGAACTAATGGGTAGTGAACCAGTACTTACTGGGGAACAGACAGCCAAGCCTTATTAGGGGACTACTGGTTTGTTACCACAGAAACGGAGGAGAAATTCTCCATGTGGGTTCTGAATAAACCCTGCATCAGTACGGTCACAGCTCATAACCGTCAAAAACCAGTTTCCTAGTGATTACTGATTTTATTACCCATTAGCTCCTGATTCGTTCCTCTTTAGTTTCCTTGGTAACTACCCATTACTTACTGATTAGTTCCTCTTCATTTCACAGGTAACTAACCAGTAGTTCCCTAATAAGGCTGGGCTGTGTGTTCCCCAGGAAGTACTGGTTAACTACCTATTAACTCCTGATTTGTTCCTGATTCGTTCCTGAGGCGTTCTCTAGTAGTTAATCAAATTTTGTGTACCTTTATTGTAAAGTGTTTCCGTTTTGCTGATTCAAATTTCACTCACTGTTTAATGTTACAATTTTTTAACAAGTTTCTGCTAATTAGTTGTGCGTTAGTTTGACCATGATATCACTCTTTAAAATGTAATTTGATGTTTATATTTTGGCATAATTACAAAATCATGACTTTTTCTGTGTTGACTCATTTTTTTGAACGTTAATTTGAGGAGTTATTATTAAAAATGTGGTGCAGTGTTAGCCTGATGGTCAGTGCTGCAGTATCGTTATCTTAAGGTTGCAGGTTCAAGTCCAGGTTGTCACAAATACCATCTGGCATAAATTAATTTCCAAATCCTGTTTAAGAGTTCACTCGCTGTGGCAACCCCTGAAGAAGGCAGCAGCTGAAAGACAAACGTAGCTAAATATGTAAAACAAAAAAATCACTCTTATTCAAGTGTTTTGGACCCTATAGGCACCGATACTAAAACCGGTCTGTATAGTTCGTCTTTAGTCAGGTTGTAATTTGCTTTTTTAAATTCTCCAGGGTGTGGCCACTGCAAGAAAATGAAGCCAGAGTATGATGAAGCTGCTGAAATACTCAACAAGGCTGCAGATGTAAGTCTCATTACGTTTTCATCATAAATGCCCGCAGACCTTGGTGCTTCAGTTCTCTAATAAAATTCAACATTTACCTCACCTGGCTGCAGCAGATAGCGATCATCCCCCGAGTTCTGAGGTTGCTGTAGGTGACCCATGGGTCGAACTGTCCAACTGCCCAGTTTTGATGCATTTCTCTTGATTTGGGTGTTGTTCTGTGGTAAACCTGGAGCAAGGCCTGTAAACCTGTAGTCTGAAGCAATTATCTCATCCGTAAACGTCTCCATAGACCAGCGCTTGGACCTCGTCCCTGTGGCTCTCTGCCCAGCTCTAGAGGTCAACGGAAAAGGCCTGGTCCTTATTGAAGGCAGATGGACTGGAGCTACTCTCACCCTGGACTCGTATAATCCAGCATATTATTGAGATTTTCTTCTGTGCCTTGACGCTCATGATGATAAAACCTGAGGTCATAATATAAATGTGTAGTTTTTCCAGTATTATCATTTTATACGTGTAAAAATGTCTCCAGGAATAAACACCGGAGATCAGCTGACTGATTTACTTGTGTAAAATGCCTCGTTTGAATTCACGTTTTTTTTCTTACTTACCTAATCAGGCCCATGGATAAGCTCATTGTGGCCCACCAGTGGGTTCATTTTTAAATAAAACTAGATTTTAAACCGTAAAACAAACTTAATGACGATAACTGCTGGATGTTGGGCCCCTGAGCTCTTGGCTCTCAGTAACTGTGGCCCCTGAGCTCTTGGCTCTCAGTAACTGTGGCCCCTGAGCAGTTCAGTTGAGCGGCCCTCAGCTACTGCCACACCAAAATTTACCTCTATCTGTAAAATTCACTTAAAGCTCTTGGTGTTTGTTAAAGCTGTGACAGCCATCTTGACTGAGTGAACTCCAGAAGTCAGTCAGTTTTAGATGTACGCTCAGTGGTTACTGTGAGAGTTTCATCAAAGCACCTCCACTGGTTCATGAGTTCACAAATGAACATGCACGCACAGATAATCACATTATCGCCTGCCTTTCAGCACAGCAGGCTCTAAATGGCAGTTTTTACAATAAAAACACACAAAGCGACATATTTATGGATTTTTGTCCCATATTTTAAACCAATTTTTGGCTCAGATATTCACATATTCATTCATTCTGACTGAAAATGTTGAACACTACCATTTTCAGCCGTTAGTTGGCACTCTAGTGGTATGGCATGCCATTGTGTCATGTAATAGGTAAAAGTGGCTATTAATGACACAATCGGCTTGCCAAAGCCTTGTTAAAGTCCTCCTGTGCACACTCCCATGCATCCAATCGATTTTTGGCACAACATTAGCCCCACATTTCCAGGTTGTCAGCGGTGATGCATAATAGATGCGACTTATACGGCGGAAAATACGGTACTCTAAAATTGTCACTGTTGATTGTTTGATATGAATTAAAGTTGTTTTCCTCTGCAGAGCCCAGGTGTGTTGGCAGCAGTTGACTCCACGGTGCACAAGGCTGTAGGAGACCGCTACAAGATCTCCGGTTTTCCCACCGTGAAGTTCTTTGAGAACGGTGAAGAGAAATACACGCTGCCTCACCTCCGAACCAAAGAGAAGCTCATGGAGTTCATGCACAAGTGAGTCGCCTGCTGATCGCACAGTTCTTCACATGGAACAAGCATGTTTTCACTCACACAGTTCTTTGGTCACTTTGAAAGGATCTGCTTTGATATCAGCTCAAACCCGTCAACCATCTGAGGCGTCCGGTTTTAGAGTGCTGTGCAAAAGTCTTAAGCCAACCCTCATAAATGTACATTTTGCTTCCGAGGACTTTCTTGCAGTATTTTGGGAAGATTTATTTTTTATTTTTTAACTTTTACTTTGGACCTTGGTTGCTTTTCACTCCCTTTAAGTCCAGTACCTGATTCTTTTCATAAAAATGTTTTATGTTTAGCCACCTAACTTGATCTACTGTAGATGATCAACCCGACCATGATGCGTCTTTCAGGTCCTGTTTCAGGTCCCTGCTCATTTTTATTTTATTATTTTATTTTTTCAACATTTCTTAAAGATGTATGGAAACCCATTTCCGCCATGAAAGAAAAAATAACAGCCCAACAGGAAGTCATAATTTCATCTTTTAAAGTCATAATTACAAGAATAAAAGTCATAACTGAGTTTTAAAGTCATGTGACTTTTATTCTCATAATTATGACTTTAAAACTTGTAATTATGACTTTAAAACTCAAAATTATGACTTTAAAACTTGTAATTATGACTTTAAAAGACAAAATTATGATTTTTAAACTCAAAATTGACTTTTAAATTCATAGTTATGACTTTCATCTCGTAATTACTTTAAAACTCGTAATTATGACTTTAAATCTTGTATTTATGACTTTAAAACTCAAAATTATGACTTAAATTCATAGTTATGACTTTCATCTCGTAATTATGACTTTAAAACTCAAAATTATGAGTTTAAAACTAAAAATTATAAATTTAATTCTTGTAATTATGACTTTAAAAGTCAAAATTATGACTTATTCTCATAATTATGACTTTTAAACTCATAATTATGAGTTGAAAACTCAAAATTATGACTTATTCTTGTAATTATGACTTCCTGTTGTGCTTTTATTTTTTCTTTCATGACGGAAATGTGCTTCCATAGACATGACTGTGAGACGCTTTTTTCTCTGCTGATTTTACTGAGGACGTCTTCTTCTGTACTCATTTGTCCAATTTTGTAAAAAAAATTAATAATAATCCACATAAATTTTGTGAAAAAGCAGTAATTCTAAGGAACAATTTTATAGGACCTATTAAAAAAAGTTCACTTCCAATAAGTCTGGCTGCGTGTGAAAAATAAAGTAAAAAAAAAAATAAAAAGGATTAGATTTAAAAGGTTTGCACATTGCTCTTAATCTATATGTTTTATATAAATTCAATTTTAATGTGAGAAAAGACCCCGTTTATTTTTTTTTCTGAGAAATTTGAATAATTTCTGCAACTTATTTATTAACACAAGTTTTAATGTATTCTCATCCTTATGGAGAAAACTGTTGAAGAATTGCATTTCATACATTTGCAGAACATTGTTTAATTTTATTTTTTAAACTTCTGACCGGTGGTTGTGTATGACTTTAATGTGAGTGTTTCTAAACTATGTCCACTTGGATTCTGCTTATTCATTTGAGCAGTGATGTAGTTTCATGTGGTAATGGTTTTCTTTGGTTCTTTTTAATTTATCTCTGAAGTCCTCAGGCACCTCCACCACCAGAACAGTCCTGGGAGGAGAAGCCCTCCAGTGTCAGCCATCTTGGATCTGAGGACTTCAGAGAGGCTCTAAAGAAGAAAAAACATGCTTTGGTCATGTTCTACGCTCCCTGTGAGTTTTCTCTGAGCTAAATGTTTTTCTGGCTACAGTTTGTTTCCCTGTGGGGTTGGAAATGGACTCCCACAGTTTTCCATCTGGAAAACGAGCGCCGAGGCACAGCTGCCTCCTGATCTTTGTGGAGCTCAGCCTTTCTGCACAGATGTGGACCGACACCTGGAAAGAAGTCTGTTTACACAGTTAAATTTCAGATGCTTGGCTTCTTCATCGGACACTGAAGTGTGGAGGCTGCCACAACGTGTGATCGCAGCTCTGTTTGGGGTTCATCACCAACGTGCACGTGCGACTCTGAGCTTTTTACCGCACTCCTCTTTGCAGAGCGCTTCATTCTCTGAGACGGTTCCTAAAAGCTGTTGAGACCAACAGCAGCTCCTCTACGCTCTCCAGAATAAATAAATAAATGAAATATGGGCCTTTTTCACAAATCTCCAACAGGCTTTTATTCAAATCTTACGTAGACTGAACTTCAGCATCCTTTTCACAGCAGAATGCAAAGAATTGTGTGAAGAAAATTGTTGGAATGATGGAAATATGTTTTTTAAAACAGTAAAGTTTAATCATGCTTTTCATCTGTGTTTGCAAACATTGAGGGAATGCAGTGTTCAGAAACTGCTCACTTACGTAACACACACACACACACACACACACACACACACACACACACACACACAGTCCTGTCAGTGGATTTCATCCTTTTGTTTTGGATTCGGGCTTCAAAGCCGTCCAGGGTGCATCGGTCAGGCTGCTTCCTGTCGGCTCTTTGGTGCTGCTTTCTACAAAGAGGAGCTCCAGATGTACATCAGGCAGCAGCAAGCTGCTGTCCTCTGATACCACCTGCACCTCGCTGACTCCAGAGCTCCTTCAACTCAGCCTCACATCACACAGCTGCTATCTTTGTTTTGGACTAATTTCCTGATGCTGCTCAATAATCCAGGTAGAAAAATCTACAAAAGTTGAATCCGGTCCTCTGTACGGATTATTTTTTTGTTGAAACGTTTCGTCTTTTATCCAGAAGACTTCTTCAGTCTGAGGAGCTGCAACAAACTCAGTCTTATGAATAGCACCTTCTCATAGTGGATCAAGCAGTTTGTTGTTGACATCCAGAACCAGCTGTTCACATGATAAATGACCATCAGTTTAACGACGGATTGTGCCCTGATGGTGCTCAAACCTGCACACGTCACTTTTTTCTGTGGAAAATCTCCAGTTTCAATCAAAAATACATCATTCACGTGAATCATCTAGATCTGAAGAGGGGGGAGGGGTGTTCAGAGGCGTGGTAGATGACATAATTTCCTATTGACCGGATTAGTCGTGCTAAGCTAGTGCTATACAAGTCGCTCTAGCTAGCGCTCAACAAAGCTCACGCTAGCTCGTAAGTGCTAAGCTAGCACACTTACGTAGGGCTAGCTTATTGCTCTGTAAGTGCCAGCAGTTGTCGATGGGGATGACCGGAGGCTGCCAAGATATAATGCTAACTGATGCACACTCGCAGACCGAGGCAGTTACATGATTGCTCACATTTCATGCATTAATAAGAGGAATAAAACTCTTACATTATAACCAACAGGGAGTTGTTTTTTTATGTGAGCCTTTTTGTGAGTGTCAGTAATTATTAAAATAATATAATTATAAATGTGCAGGTACATTTTGAACGGCTGGATTTTTTTCTTGACTAAAGACTAGTACAAGTAATTTACCTTTTAAAGTCACAATCAGTTTTTTCTTCAGTTTTGGCGTTTGTAATATCTTTTTTTGTCTTCAAGTGAGAAACTGCTTTTGTTTTGGGTTTTTTGGAACCGTTGAACAAAAAGACATTTCAGTGTTTAAAGGCATTTAGGCATCATTACCCGCCAAGCAGGATATGTCACCAAGAGTTTGGGAGCTGATGTGACTTTCCGTATTGTCTCAGGAGGACGCCGATGATGTTTATATGATTGGATTCATGATAACGGGGTTTCTGCTTTTTGGCACCGGCAAATTCCTGTGTTATCGGCTATTGAAGAAGATGCCGGCAGCAGTTTCGGTCATGGCAAAACTGCAGAGTCTGTGTGAAGGTTTGGTTCGTGCTTCGAGTACTCAAAATCAGCCGTTTTATGAGCTAAACCATAAGATGGAAGCGATTTGTGAGAATTGCAGGCCACTTGCAGCTTCTGGGACTCGCCAGCTTGTTGGGGACGACCTTGGAGGGGGCTCATAAGCACAGACCAGTGGAATGCCCACAAATCTGGCCATTTTGGATTGAAAGTTCCAGCAGGACTCGAGGCTGACGAGAAATGACAGTCTGCCTGAAAAAAAAAATCAACAGTGACTTATCAGAATCTGATTCCCCCGGTTGGCCTTGAAGCAGGCCGACGTCAAATTTCTCCTGGGACACGTGTAAACTAAGAAAATGCTTTGTCTATCCCCCAAGAACTTCTGTGGTTGCTTATCAGAGCTGTACCAGCTGACACACAAACATCTTATCAGGACTATGGACTATCTGGAAGTGCTCCATGGACAAATCTCCGTCTTGTCTTCAAATGCATGTAACGTGGTATAAATGTGCTGCTGGTGGAGTTTTTTGATGTCTTCAATCGTGTCCTGATAAGGACAAGATGTGAAGAGATATTTTTTTGTAATACCACTATCCTCATGACCTTTTCCCCGTTTCTATCTGAAAATTATTCGGAACAAGGATACGGGGCCGCGCTCTCAGGAGCAGCAGCCACGTGCACTCCGCCATCTTTCGGACGACTGGATGAACATAATCTCACTGTACAATGATAATAAAGCTTATTCTGATTCTGATCGTTCCCAAAAATCTGAAGAGTATGAACATTTCTGATGTTCTATTTAAAACCTGGAACATAATAATGTTGTATCATTCTTTAAACGTTTTTTTGTTTTGTTTTGTTTTTTTAGGGTGTCCACACTGTAAAAATGCTGTCCCTCACATCACGGCAGCAGCAGAGCTCTTTAAGGAGGATCGTAAGGTCAGTTTGTCTTTTCACATCTTTCACGTCCAGCTGTGGAACATCAGCAGCGTTAATGCATGAAGGCAACACAGATTTCACCATTTCACGCTTCTGTCATGTCACAGTGAACAATTGAAGGTGCATGGAATGCGTCTTCTCGTTCCACAACTCATACAGGAATACATATCGGCATTGTTGGTTTTTATTATTTTATTTATTGTCTGGTAAACAATATTCTGATATAATCAGATTTCTATGAACACATTGAAGAAATACCTTGAAAGAAAAATTAAAACAATTACACCTTAGTCCAACAAAACTTGATCCAAGGACAAGAACAAGACTCTTGCCGTATGGATGGATTAATATTATTTATAAAATGATGATAAAATTGTGTGTGTGTATATATATATATATATATATA